TCCCTTCCCCAACTGAAGGGACAGGTCAGGACCTTGTCTTCATGCACCACAGTGCTTGGGAGCAAGCGCTGGGACCTACAATGCTCAACACCGACCACACATGGTTACTTAAGTTAAAATTCAAATTAATTAAAATTCAATAAATTTTAAGTTGCAGTTTCTCGGTTGCCCTGGCTATATTCCAAATTTTCAGCAGCTGTCTGTGTTTAGAAGCTGCCATGCTGGCCAGGGTGGTATTGCACATTTCTATCACAGCAAAAGGTTACGTGAACAACACTGGCCTAGGCTGTGGGATGTCACAGACGTGCTACTAGGACCTGTAGATCCATTCACTCATTCATTAATTCATTTATTCACTTGGAATTTACCATTCAGTGTATAAAATATTCTCCATGGGCCTGTCCTGCTTGATGCCTGCTGCTGTCCCACTCCTTGCTATGACCAAGCTCCAGGTAGCATCTTATAGTGTCAGTATGGGTGAAGATGGTGGTGGTATTGTGTCTGTTTTTAATGAGGCATGGTGTCCTGAGGCAGATAATCAGTAGGACTGCTAGAAAGAAAAAAATGATAGACCATGAGGCATTGATGGAAGCCCAGTTTTTGGATGGTGTGTTAGTCTGTATTCTGTTACTATGACAAAATACCTGAGGTTGGGAAAAGATATATTCAGCTTACACTTCTAGACTTTCAAGGGCACGGCACTTATCTGGCACCACCTCAGCTTTGGTGAAGTCCTCATAGTTGATGGGATCATGGCAGAATGTGTGGGAAGACACAAGGACAGAAAGAGAGGCCATACCTGATCTTTCCATAACAATTGTTCTCTCAAGAGCTAACACAAGGGCCTGGGGATATAGCTCAGCAGCACAGCACCTGCCTGGCAAGCCTGAGGTCAAGAGTTTAATCTCCAATGCCAAAACAATAACACAACAACAACTAAAACCAAAAAGAACCAACCCAGGGAGGGGGCCATGAGGACAACTTGGATCCCCTCTGAAGGCAGAGCCCCAGTGGCCTCCTATTAGACTCCACCACCTGTCAACAGTGTTTACCCCACTGAGGACCAAAATTCTAACACATGAAACCCCGGGAAACAAACCAAACCCACCTCCAACCCCCAATAGAAGGGGGTCTACTGGATCCCTCCACCCAGCAGATGCCACCTGCAGGGGAAGAGGGACCAGGAAGAACCTGAGAAAACTCAGTGGACCTCATGTCCTTCAGGCTCTGTCCCTTACCCCTTCAGGTGGGTAATGATTTCACCTGGGGAACTTTACAAGATGTGACAGACATATCATCCTGCTCTCCTAAGCCCAACTGCCTCCTTTCCTTGATAAACCAGAAGGAAGTTTCCAGATGTTTCTCAAGACGGTACTCCGCACAGCCATTGCCAATCAGAGCTGGCAAAAGAGAGGCAGTCTATCTGCCACACCAGTCAGCCCTCAGCTTCATCTACAAGGCGGAAATGCCACCACCATCCTGAGGGGATGCTGAGAATGGCATGAGATGATGCCCTCTTTTTATTGTCAGTTCCCACGCCAGGTCTGTCTTGGGTGCCCATGGGGCCTTGTGTGTGCCTGACACCTGTGCATTTGACACATGGCAGCTGTCACACGTAGACAGCTATGGGCTGCCTTCTGTGGCCTCCCAAGTCCCTCTCCTCAGAGGGGTGCACACACTCTGGGCCACTTAATGAAGGGGAAAGGAGCCCATAAATGTTAACCCGAGGATTTAACAACAGATGGCACATTTTCCAATAAAAAAAGACTCCCCCGTTCTAGTACTACCTTCTTTTCTTCCATTCTAAATAAGTCTTGGTTGGATTAGTTCCTTCATTTAACTTTTCTTCAAGGTTCTCATGCACAAAACACTATTAACAAGTCACGTCTACCGGGCCAGGGTATAGTTCCTATAAACCCTCATTTTATCTCCTCCAAAACACACAGTAATAGCCTTCTCCAGGGAATATTAAATCAGACCAACCTGCAGCTGCATTTGTTTGTGCTTTTCTGCCCCCAGTAATTTCTGGCAACAGATGGCTGTGCATTATATAAGTGGTGCTCGCAGCCCTGTAGCCCCTTCCTTTCTGCCCGAACCCCCAGGAGACCTGGGTGCTCCCACCCTGCACCCCTGAGTGCACGTGCTAGGCAAAGCCTAGGTGCTCTGTGGGGCATGGAGGACCCTGCTTTATTATTGTATTCCAGACACACAAGGAAAACAGCACAGGTTGAAAAAAGAGGCTGGCCTTGGCAAAAAGGGATGGAGCTTATCAGCCCCTAATCCAGCACATAAAATGTGCTTTTCTTGGCCTGAGATGCATGTTCAATGACAGAGCTGAGCTACAGAAAAGGGGCTGGGCAGCCAGCCCTGTCTCATTGCTTGTTCCAGAGGAAGGTGCTGCTGTTCACCTGCCAGGAAATACAGGCCAGGGATAGGAACAAGAGTATGGGGCCCTAGATGCTGGCTGTGCACCACAGCTGAGGTGTGGGGGCTGCTCCAGAGCCCTGGGCCAGCTTTTGAGCACACAGGGCCAGGCCAGCCCACGAGGTGGTGCGGCTGACCAGCCCCAGAAACTTCCTCAGAGGGCCCACTGGCTTGGATTTCTTTTTCTCGAGTTTAAATTTTAAGCATTTGTTTAAAAACACTAACAAAGCAGAAATCACAGAAAACTTTCTGTTACTCCACTGAGCTCTGTGTGTGTGTGTGTGTGTGTGTGTGTGTGTGTGTGTGTACAGAGGTGGCCTGGACTGTGTCTGCCTCACTGGCCTCCAGGTCTGCAGTTCTAACAGCTGATAGTGTTCAAGCCAAGTATGCGAGGGTGAAGGTCTAAGTAGGGGGTTGGGTGTGAGAACTATCAGAGAAAGGGCTGAGCAGCAAGGGCTCCTGCCTCTAAGCAAATTCCCAGCTTTAATTTTTATTTGTGACCTTGTGCAGACTACCTATCCTCTCTTAGCCTCAGGTTTGTACTTGAAGATCAGAAAAGACAACGAGAGCATGGCACATATCTGTTACCTCAGCACTGAACTCAAAGAGACTAAGGCAGGATGATAGCAAGTTTAAGCCCAGCCTGGGAAACTTAGGAACTTAGGCTCTGTCTCAAAATAAATAATAATAGTAACAAAAAAAGAGTAAGAGGACTTGGTGATATATTTTGGTATAAAGGTCCTAGGTCCAACACCCAGTACTACACAAACAAAACCCAAAAACCAATCAATTAACCAACCTCCAACACACAAAATCAAAAACAAAGAACAAAAAGGGCAAGCATGAGTGCTTACAGGTCACTGGGAACAAGGAGCTCATTCATTCATTCATTCATTCACCAGCCATTTGTGTGCTTTGAATAGCAATGGTAGAGCCTGGAGAATTTCTGGTGCAGGATAGGAGGGACACACTCACAGGTCTACCCATGGTGCAGGGCAGGGAGAGGGTGGGCTCCCTGCAGAAAGTGACACCTTGGTTCCAGGAAGCCGAGGTCCAGATATCTGGGCTCTGGGGTTAAACGAGATGGGTGTAACTCTCAGGGGGCCTACGGAGCCCCCAGCACGGGCATTCAGGAGGCTGTGCATGCAGGAGGTACCAACAGGAGGGAAGCAGGGCCAAGACCAAGGGATTAGGAGGCTCTGGCGTTACACGTGGGGCTTTGAGCTTCACTTTCTGGGTCAAGGAGAACTCTGAGGGTTAAAGCAGCTGATTAGTGTGACCAGATCTCCCTGAGGCGGCCTGAGACAGACTGGAGGGCTGGGCTCACAGCTAGGGGCCATGAAGGCCATCTCACTGTTCCACACTGCTACAAGCTCTGCACGCACCTCCACCTGGACACCTGCTCATTCTGCTGCCCTTTTCCTTCTGAGCTCCAGGGCCAGACACTTTAAGGACCTTCTCTGACCTCTCAGCATGAGGACGCTCCCTCCTCCTGCTCCATGTAGTCTGGGCAGGCCAGTTCCAGCCCAGAGAGAGCAGTTCCACTGGAACTGGAACAGCTGAAAAGAACTACTGGCATTTACAAGAAGACCTGCCTCAGGAATCAGATTTCCAAGCTTCCTGCCATGGTTAGAAGACCTAGCAGCACCAACTGGTCCCTCTGTCCATTCATGGGCTTCCAGACCGCCAGTCCCCAGGACCCCTAGTGCCTTTCCCAGAAGACCGAGGCTGAGGACCAGTTCCTCCTCACCCTGGGACTACTGCTTCCTTTACAAAGGGTAGAATGATCCCTGCCACATGTCCATCGTAAGAGCAGATGGTGACAGAGTGACAGGCCCCTGTCTTTCCTTACTTGCTGTGCTCCCGCATGAGCCAGGCCTCGGGCCTCGTAACACTATGTTACAGAATTCACCATCTACTCAGTGGGCTTCCGCAGGAGGTACACCTCCACGTCACTGTCTGTGTCTTTTCACATCAGAATCTCCAGAACTTACAGTGAAGCCTGAGGGCGCCTGTGGGCCTGGGGATAAAGGAACAAATGCAAGAATGTTCAGAAAAACTACCAGGGGGACGAAGGATAGGGTTTAGGAGCTGCTCAGGCAGGGACAATCCGGGGCCCTGGCCTGCACTGCTGAATTACATCTGCATTTTAGCAACATTCCCTGGTGAGTCATTGTAGACTAGCGTTTTCCGAAGTGATGGTTAAAGAATGTATGGGTTCAGGTTCTCACTCACTCTGACTAGCTGTGTGATTGGGGGCGAGTTACATAACCTTTGTGCTTCTGTTTTCTTATCTGTAAAACTGAGCCTCAGCTTGTGTTTTCCCAGTTCCCACAAAGATGGGAAAGATATGTCACTTTCCAAAACTTTCAAGAGCCAGAAGTTCTGTCCCTGCTGCCTCTTCTGAAGCCAATGTGAAGTCATCCTGAGACCCCTGCAGAGGTTCCTGTGCACCTATGAGAAGGGGTAGCAGGGCCACCTCGTGCCCACTTAAGAGCTTCAGGAACCAGACTTGGCAAATTGCTCAGCACTTCGTCAACCAAATTTCCTTCAAGGAGTCAGAGCCTGTTACTCACCCCATCTGTGGTCCAGTAATTCCAGACCTTGATCATGGCCAGACCAAAGTCGTGCAGCTGGTCTACGTTGTGGATAACGAAAGAAAGGTGGAGCGGCGGGTGGAAGTGGCAGGTCCACACGGAGGACTCCTTCTTGCTCTGAAAGGCCAGCAAGAGAGGCGGCCATTAGGTTCCTTTCTGCCTGATTAAAAAGCCCAGGCTAATGAAAACCAGGAGTGCTAGGGGCAACAGGACAGGCCACCTCCTCAACCTGGTGCACACAGGCCTCAGATCTCACTTTATCAGAGTCTGGTGACCCTGTCCCCACACACAGCTGCCACATGGGCCTCTCTGATCTGCCAGCCAGATGGAATCTGAAATGCAGTGGGCTTTATTTTAATCAATTTAATCGGCTTTGAGGAATGTGCAGGGGCAGGAGGGACACCAGGGGGAGAGATGGAAAGGGGCCACCATGCATGCTGTTTGATTAACCTGGCAAATGCAGCCTTTGATTTTCTTTTGTCGAACCCTGTTGAATTTTTTAAAACTGTAGACTAGAAAAGGAAGAAAGAATCTGGCTGAGTTGTTTGTTGGGACGGGGCCATGGCGCTGTGCCTGGGGTTTGTTCCATTTCCTTTTGGGGGTTTCCAAGCATGGAGGCCCCAGGGATTGCAATCTGCAGTGTCTGCTGCTGGCTGAGCAGCCAGGATGGTCCTCAGAGCCCAGAGGGCTAGAGGTGCAGAGCACTTTGCCATCATGGTCACAGGTACCCAGCACAGTTTTATGCTTTGAGGGCAGATGCGAAAGCCAAATCAGGAGACTTTCTCAGGGCCTGTCACCTCATGTCTTATCTCTTCTGCATTCCATTGGGACAAATCACAGCTGCTCCCAATCTCGCCCACGCTGGCTGGACCTCAGTGCCTGGCCCCAGTTAGGCCTCTGCTCCCTGGCAATGCTCTTCCATCTCTTACCCTGAGAAATGCAGCTAAAATATGAGGTGGCACCACTGTCATCTCCTCCTGTGCCATCTCCAGACCTGTCCAGCCCAGCCACACCAGACATGAGTGCTGGCCTTGGTGTCTCACAACAGCCCCCTTTCATGTCTGTGACCTCCTTATGGGAAGGGCCTGTGTCTGACTCGTCCTCAAACTCTTAACATTCAGCAGTGTTCCTTGGCACATGGCAAATACCCAACAGTTCAGTGTGGGATGAATATATGACTGAGTGAGGCCACAAGTGAAATGGCCCCCTAATACTTGTCATCTCATGGGGACTTCAGTAGTTTTAAGGTAGCTCTTGTTCCCAGAGTAAGGTCGAGGTATTTTATTTGGTGCATGACATGTGAAGAAAAAAACCAAGTTCTTCACCAATATTGCAAAGTGAGATTTTACCTAAGAGCCAGATTTCTAGCTTCTCTCTAGACTTGGAACACGTGGCAACGAGGGTCTCTGATGGCCACTGCTTGGAGTCTAGTATGTGCACCTGAAGCTGACCAGTGTGAACACCTTTCAGGGCCTGCAGTCCCCACCACTCCCGACTATCTCATACCTTTCTCTCTCCCCTTAGAGGCTGCCTGGTCCTGCAGAAGTCAGGGCAGGGGTTCTCACTTAGGGACTGAAAAGTCCCTGTAGGTCCTGTCTGCCCACAAGCACCCATCACATGTCTGATGGCACCCGGAGGTCCCTTTTATGTAAAGGAGCATCATGTGTCTGAGATCACCACAGGGACATGTCTGCCACTGGACAGAGTGGGGAGGGAGGACTGGCTGACTCTGGGGTTTGTTGGCCCCCAGAGCTGGGAGGCCCCAGCTCCAGCTGTGGGGGGAGAACAGAGGGGGCTTGTTTTAGAGACAATGGTCCCTTTCAGGAGGGGGGAGGTGGCCTTTGTTAAGGGGGAGAGATGAGTTCAAGGGGTTCTGACTTGTTTTGGCGAGTTCTTCAAGCTGGGCAAGAACCTGGTGATCTGGGCAGCTGTAGGGCTGGGTGTGTGTGTGCGTGTGTGCGTGTTGAGAAGTCACATCTCAAAATGCAGTGGGTGTGTGTCTCATTCCTTCCCTGAGCTGCAGCCTAAAGTGGGTCACTGTGGGTGCTGGACACAGGAAGAGACTGAAGGCTGACCCTGGGAGCAGACACAGGGGCTGTAATTGATTTTCCTTCACACTGCTGTCAGCATGAGGAGTAACAGGAGGCCTATGCGGGAATTGTGGTGATCAAAGTCAGAGAACATTAACTTTCCAGTAACTGCGGACCTCATTAGCAGCCAGGCCTTCAGAGGCTTCCGGTCCACAGCAGATCTCCAAGAGAAGGCTGTCGGCAGCTGCCACACTGGGTGAAGCCCCAGCATCAGGCCAGCGGGCAGCACTTCCTTCCTTATCACAGGTGCTAAGAAAGGTGGCAGGGCAACTGCACGCTGCTGCTCACATACGTGGTGCTCTCCATTCCCAGGCTGTGTGCACTGCTAGGTTAGCCTACAGCTGAGCAGGGCTCTGACCTGTCATGGCCTACATGCAGAGTGAGGATGTGAACCTCTGTGTCTCAGCCTGGACTCCCCGAGAAGCTGCCTCTAGGCAGGGACAACACCATCAAGAGTTTTTGTAGACAGTGAGGGACACCTCCATGTGAGCCTCGGCAGGACAGGAGCGGAGGGCAGGTAGCATAAATGTGGTGGCCAAGCTGGCCACTCATGCAGGGGTCTGGAGTTTAACACATGGGACAAAAGGCGTAGGGTGTTTACACCTGACTCTCACCCATGTTGGCTGGGGCTGCTCCTGGGGCCTTGGGGCACCCCCCATAAGAGTGAGCCTAGGAGACCTGGAAAAGAACCCTCTATGAGGACATGTGAACACCAACAGTGGGAGAACAGCCAGTGTGCTGTGATATGGGAGGGGTGGGCGAGGCATGGGCACAGGCACCAAAGAACCCTCTGCACCTTGCCCTGAGTCCCCAGCCCCCCAAGGCTGACACAGAGCTACATGTAGGGGTGTGTAGAAAGCCCCACCATGTGGGTTCAGTAACTCATCTATGCAGAAAGGCCAGCAAGCACAATTTCCAGGAAAAAAATCAGCAGGGATAAACTATAAAGAAAATCACAGAGAACTGTTATTAGTAGTTAATGGAATGACTATTTTAGAATGGATGGCCAAAGACAGTCTCTTTGAGGAGGTAACATTTTAACTCCAATACCAAAGGTGCTTTTCCAGTATCAACTTAACATAGATCCATCCCCCTACAGGGAGATGCTGACTGCCTTAGAACTAATTCCAGTTTAATGAAGTACTGCATTAAAAAGAAACAAACTTGATATACACAAAGATTGGAAATACGTCAAGGGCATGATATTAAGTGAAGCAAGCCAAAGAAGTTCCATACTGTATGAGGCTACTTATATAGCACTCTGTCTTTTAAATGCTGGAGTTGGATCCCAGGGCTTTGCACATGCCAGGTAAGCTCAGTACCACTGAGTTGTATCCAGCCAGACTCTGCACAGGGGCTGAACTGTGTAACTCTGATCTTCCCACAGCAGGTGGGAGGGGGCCCACTTGTTCACAGATTCACTAGTACTTGTTATTGTAACGAGTTGCTTTTTTACTTTGTTATCTTTTCTTTTTCTATTCTAGGTGTGTCAGTGAGTATGAAGTGGTATCTAATTGTGCCTTTCATTTGTGTTTCCCTAATAGTGAGTGGCACAGAGCACCTTTTCATGTGCCAGTTGGTCCATAGTTTTCCTGAGTTGGTACCAGGGTACTGCTGACTCCAGAGAATGAACTGGGAAGTGTTCCTTCCTCTTCTACATTTTAAAAGTATTTGGGAAGGATTATTAATTGTTAATTCTTCGGATGTTTGATAAGATTCATCACATTCACTGTTCACCAAATCCTGGACTTTTAGGCAGATCTGATGAGTAATTCAATCTCATTATTTGCTATAGGTCTATTCAGATTTCCTTTTCTTCTTAAGTCAGTTTTGCTCATTTGCGTCTTTCTAGGAATCGTCCACCTTATTTAGTTTACCTAATTTGTTGGCATATAATTGTCCATAATATCCCCTTATAATCCTTTTGACCGCTGTAAGGTGAACAGTAATATCTCCTCTTTCATTCTGACATTATTAACTTGAATCAGGTATCATTTTTCTTTTCTTTCCTTAGAGTAGTTAAAGGTTTGTCAGTTTGCTGAACCTTTCAAAGGACCAACTTTGTTTCACTGGGTCTATTTATATTTGTATTCTCTGTATTATTTTTACAATTACCTATAACCAATCTATAAATATTTCCAAATAAAAATTTAAAAATATGTACTGCACAGTTTTTATGCTGGAAGCACAATGTGAATAGGACAAAGACTTCTGTAGTACCTGGGGCAAACAGATACTAAACACATGATAGAATAATTTTTTATAAAAAGATATACTCAGAAGAAAATGAAAAAAGTGTCACAATTGTGACTAAGTTAGGTGGGGACAAGCTCCTCAGATTCCTGGGCAGGGAAGGCCTTGTAAGAAAGTAATATTAAGGCTAAAATCTGAACACAGAGAAGCCACAGGAAAATCTGGAAACAGGACACCTGGATTGGTGGGAATGCCCTCGGTAGCTGGAGCAGCAGGTAGCAGGCCGGCTAGAGCAGCATTGGTGTGGGGCGGGGGGGGCAGAGAAAAAGGGGGGCGGGCCCAACCAGGGCCTCTCGGCCACAGTCAAACCTGGGTTTTATTCTAAGTGTGACAGGAGGTCATGGCAGGGGTTTTAAGTAGGGGAAGGGGATGGCTGATGTTTTTTAAAAATCACTTTGGATAGAGAGTAGACAAAGAAGTGGATGGGATGAGAATAGAGGAAGGCCAGTGAGTAGTCCAGGCGAGAGGGACCAGGGCCCCAAACCCGGGAGGTGCCGTGCAGAGGGAGGGAAGGGCTGGAGTTAGGCCTCATGGGGAGGCGGAAACACAAGACCTGTGGGTGTGTGGGAAGGCGGCTGAGACAGTGTCCTAATCATACTCTATCCCCAGGAAATCGAAGTGTACAGAACATATTTTCTAACTTTTCATTTGGAAGTAATTTTTTTTTGAGGTACGGAGGATTGAGACCAGAGTGGCACTGGGCTACAGAAAATGGACACTCATGTCAGGACCTCAGAGGATGTGGTGGGACCGAGTGTATAAACTTGGAGTCATCAATACCATGGGGCAGGGTGAGAGAGAGAGAGAGAGAGAGAGAGAGAGAGAGAGAGAGAGAGAGAGGTGGTGGGCGCAGAGGGAAGGGCTTGGCATGGAGCTGGGCTTACCCACATCTGCCACATGACCCAACTCCCTCCACGGAGGCACCTTCTCCACCACATTCATTCCCTACCAGGTACTTCTGCTCAGCAATCAGCAGGGCTCTACAGCTGTGTGGCAGGAGACAAGTCACTGGTCTCCCAAGACTTGGTTTTGTCACTGGTGAGGTGGGGAACACCACTGTTAGGCTGATGTGAGTGTTAAATGAGGTGGCGTGCCACCCTGTGGTGGACACGTGCCAGGGAAACTGGGTGTTCTGAGAGGCGGTGGTCCTGGTCGCCCCAGGACTGGAGCACAGACTGATGCGAGGAAGCAAGGGAATCCGCCTCTTCACAGAGACCTAGGAACCCAGATCGACATAGTGCTTCCCGCCTCAACTTCAGCGTCCCCAAAGACATAAACTAAGAAACAAAACAAAACCCCAAACCTAACCCGAAGCATGTCTCAGTTCCTCCCTGTCATCACACTGCAAAGCTCATCAGCCTCTGGGAACAGAGAAATACAGAAATGATCAGAATTGATACCTACCAGATCCATTGATGCTTTTTATCATCTTTGAAGTGTTCTGTTCTGTATAGCAGGGTCCCAAAGACCCACTGCTTTCTGCACAAGGGGGTGGGGATAGTAGCAAGGGCTGATACCAGCCCCAGCAGCAAGCATCAGGATTCAGCAGGAATCTGGAAGCTGGGCAGGGTGTGCTAGGCTGGACCATCCAGGCAGCCCCTTCCCTCAAGCCCTGTTCTTTTCCAGGGTCAAGGTCACTGAGCTGCGACCTGGAAAGGGGCTCGTGTTCTCTGGTTCATCCCGCCCCCAAAGAAGGCCAGACCCTTGGTGCTGTTTCCTAGGACCCCCAAGATGACCATGAGGCCTGTCCACTTTTCCTCTGGTGACTGTGAGGATATTAGATACTCCAAAGATATGAAACAAGTTTCCTTTATAAAAATGTGGTAAAGCCAGGAATGCTAGTATATCTCTGTAATCTGGGAGGCTGAAGCAGGAGGGTTATAAATTGGAGACCAAGGGCAGGGGATTTAGCTCAGCGGCATAAGCGCCTTCCTTGCAAGTGTGCGGTTGTGAGTTCGATCCCTGGTACCGATAAAAACGAAAAAGACAAAAAATAAATAAATAAATTGGAGACCAAGCTGAGCAACTTAGTGAGACCCTCTATGAAAATAAAAGTTTTATCAAAAGGTTTGGGGATGTAGCTAAGCACAACGGCCCTGGGTCCAATGCCCAGTACCCATGCCCCGACATATACAGACATGGTGCTAAAGTGAGTCAGACTCAGTTTCTGTTGCCTGCAGTCTGAAAATCAAAGCAGATGACCCACCCCCATCTCCATTTTACAGGGGGCAGAAAAACATTCTCCATGAATGCAGCTAAGTTACCCAAGGTCACACCGTCAATAGCAGCAGCTGAGGCTTTGCAACTGGGAATTTCAAAGACTTTCTAGTTTCCTACTCCTTAAAATGAGAGTCATAATGTCTACTTCTTAGCAGTATTTATGCTGTCACTAAGAATAACAGGGCGTGCGATCACCACTGTGTGGTAGGACCCCTGGGAAGAGCCTGGAAGACGCCAAGCTCTTTCTGTTTACATCTGGTCCTTACAGCATTGTACCAAGGTGCATTCTATTATGACCTCGTTTTGTAGATGAGGATTTCAAGTAGAGGTCAGGGGAGTTGCTGTGGTCAGAAGTTGTAAGGGGTAAACTTTGAATCCAGACTTTTCTGCTGCTCAAGCCTGTGTGCTTAGATCTACCTGTGATCACACGTACTACCTCTATATGAGATCCCATGGACTAATTCTACATGACAGTCCACGTATGAAGCACTGAGCACTATGGCTCGCACAGGGCAAGGATTGAACACGTGGTAGGTGTCTTCATTTTTGATGTTTTCAAAATTAATAATCGGGGCCAAGGGTGCTCATTGGCACAAGTACCTGCCTGGCAAGAGCAAGGTCCTGAGTTTGATCCTTGGTATTAAAAAAAAATGGGGGGAAGAATAGATAATATACCTACAAGCTAGTTGAAAAGGTACACAAGAGCACCTATCTAGCCCTGCCCTGTCTCCTGCTCAGCCAGCCTCACTCACAGGCACCCTCTGTTCCCAGAGTCTGAGGTCTCTCTTGGATACAATTATGAACAGTGTGGAGCACACCACAGTAAACACAATGTAGCTGACTATTGGCTTTCACAGTCCTTTGTGTTCAATTGAAACTGGCAAGAAAGGAAAATACCAGTGCTTTTTCTCCTTTTAAACTCTATCAGGTATACAAAGGGAAAGAACACTGAACATTTTCTGGGCATACACCTACAGCAGGCCCTGGGGAAGCAGGCCCTGAAGTGTGGGCCAGGTCCTCAGCCAGGCTGCAGGATGTGGACTTTGCCCACAACTTGCACTGTGGGACCTTGGCCAGCTCCAGGGCCTTCTCCCAGCCTCACCTGCAGAATGAGGGCACTGACTGCCATGATCCTAGGGTCCTATGTGTGCTAGTAATAAGCTGCTAGGGGGCTTCAAGGGGTGAACTGGCTCTCCCAAAAGAGCCCCCAGAACAAGGACCTGGGAAGTGTTAGAGAGACCCGCTGCAGGCCTGTGCAGGCTCCTGCTGGTCTGCCAGGTGCGTGACAGGTTGCTGACAGCATGGTCCCCTCCCGGTGACCACACCTTTTGCACAGACTCTCATGCAGGGGCAGAGAAACGTGACAAGTATGCAGTGAAGAACCATGCTGGAGTGCTCTCCACTTACAGCTGCGTTCCTGTTGACCAGGAAGCCCAGCTCCCCGGGCTCGGTGGTATTCTGGACATCCACGTCATGGGGTGACACGTAGAGCTTCGTGTAGTTCAGGTCAAAGAACTCCACTTCCGTGAGACCCACCCATGACGGGTTGCCCCAGTTGGACATGATTTCCATGGTCACAAACACAGCATCTTTGGTCTCTCCTGTGCTCAGTCTCCATTTATCCTTCAACGAGAGAAAAAGAATACCAAGATGATGCTACCACAGGCTGCAGCTCAGCTCGTCTACTGCTGGTGGGCTTTCTGTGAGTTATTAGGGCCACGGTTCCTCCACCTGCACAGTGAAGCTGAGAAGAGACCTGATACCTACAGCTATTGTAAAGATTATCCAAGATACTACTTGAAAAATATTTAAAATATAGTAATCAGCCAGGCATGGTGGTGCATGCTTGTAATTCCAATACTCCGGGAGCCTGAGGCAGGAGGACTGAAAGTATCATCCCAGTCTGGTCAACTCAGTAAACTAAAGAGACCCTGCTTCAAAGTCAAAAATAAACAGGGGCTGAGGATGTAGCTAAGACACTGTGGAGACCTGGGTTGACCAGTACCACTAGACAAATAAAGTGGCTGTATATTCAGTACTTAGGGTTTTGTTTGAGGGTTTCCAAATAAATGAAAGCATTTACATAGCATCACACCCTGACCACACCCTTGTCTCCCCAGCAGGCAGTGTTCACACCCAGAAGCATGCCATGCTGTCTGCTGAAGCGGGGAGCTATGACGGCTGCATTTGCCTTCCTCCCAAGTTCACCTGTTGAAATCTTAGCCCCCAATATTGCAGACTGTGACTATGTTTGCAGATGCAGCCTTTAAAGAAGGGGTTAAATGAAAACCAGGCTGTTAGGGGAGGGGTGTCATCTAATCTGTCTGGCATCCTCACGAGAAGAGAAAATCTGAATACAGAAAGACACCAGGGATGGCTGCACACAGGACGAAGACCATGAGAGGACACAGTGAGAAATGGCCACCGACAAGCTAAGGGGCGAAGCTGCAGAGCAGAGCGAGCCTGCTGCCTTCATCTTGGACCTGCAGTCTGACACTGGGAGAAAATGGACTTGCGTTGCTGAAGCCCTCGGGCTGTGGTGTTTTGTTCTGGTCGACTGAGCAGATGAACAGTTTGGCAACCAAGGCTTGGACTGGTCACTTGACAGCCCCATGCTGGCTAGGGAAGGTGAGATGCCACCATATATGACACAATTCGGGCAGGATAGTTGAGCAAATGGATGACGAAAAGGAGGAGCCCCTGTGGCACTGTGGGCCCTCTCCAAGCATCTGCTTCATTCCGACTCTCCCCGTCATTGATTTTAATGCTCACCTACTTCCCAGGCAGGCTGTCTGGTCTGAGAGTGCGTGAGTGCCATTCATAAACAGCCACCCTATACAATGGCTTCCTCATGGCCCCTGGGGCCCAACTGCAGCCCTGGTCGCCATGGATCAGTCACTCATAAAATGGTGCTTTCTCTGAGCACGTGCCCTCTGCTAATTAGCAATGTAATCCGCAATGGTTCTGTGAGCAGGGAGCCGAGCAAATGAACAGCAACTGTTCCCCACTTATTTTTTTAATTAATAGCCAGTGAGATGTGCTATCACTCCCAGCGTGTGTTTGGATGAGCCCTGATTGCCGTGAGATGGGGATGGGATAGCGATGGGGGGGGGCAGTCAGCACCTGTTTTGATTAGCTTGGCTGTCAGAACCCACAACTCCCGCCCCCCACTCCTTCATACCACATAGGGCTCTGGCCAGGCCCTGGGCTGCCCTGGGCTGAGTCCCAGTCTTGCAGGATGCTGATAAACCAAATGGGCCTGGCTGCCTTACAGGATTGGCAGGTTCTTAAGCTTGTGTTTGTGACACTGTTCCAGGGCCAGGTGAGCAATCTGGGAGGCAGGAAGAGCAGAGCTGTTTGCTTTCCTTGTTGGTGGTAGGAAGAAAGGACAGGTGGCAGGAGGACCAGGTGGCAGGAGGGCCAGGGGGTAGAAGCGCTTTTTTGCAGGAGGCCTGCTGGACCTCTTGCCCAATGCCAATCTGAAATGTGCAACTCAAAAGCTGAGTTTTTAAATGAATAAGCTCTGCGTCTCTTAACTAAGGAATGTCACCACTTGTTACTGTTGCAAATGGTGGGCTCCTCTGCTTTCCGTACTATCTGTTTCTGGGATCTGAAGTTCTTGATCCTTGGCACTTACGGGCTGTCTCTGAGGCCACTGAAGTTTCCTTTGGGAGGTTATTCCCTCTCTTTCCTTAGCGATAAGGCATGGGGGACTGACCCTTTCCCACTGAACAAATCTAAGCAATCAATGTGTGCTTCCCCTGGGCCACCAGGAATGGTAGGAATGGCTCAGTGCTACACATGGCCCCAGACAATGTCAGCTTCACATGAGTGGCATGTTCTTCTCCCCTCTAACCGTTTAGATCGCACGGGGAGAGACCAGAGTAGGGACTGGCATTGTAACAGTCAGATCTCAGGCTGCAGCTGACACGAGAATAAGTGGTTATGGTGCTGTATCTGGATCCCCCTGGCCTCATTTTCTTCTCCTGGTTGTGTAAATCGGTTTGTTCTGGATTTTCTGTCTCTTATAGCATTAAACAAACTTCATCGGTATGGGCTCTTTTAATATGGCTGAGGTTTTACCACACTTAGGATCTTCAAAGTCGAGAAAGTAACTCTTCTATCCTAAGAGGAGCAAAGCTATGGATCTTCTCTAAGACAAACATTCAACAGGCTCCTCCTTGCCACAAGCCTGGGCAGCATGCTCCTCCTGCTGCGTACCTTCCCTGCTTTGTTCTCACTGGGCCTGGCATGAAGAGGACAGATCCTGTGTGCAGGGCCAGAGCCTAAGAGGCTTGCAGGAGGCCACATGACCTCAAAATGGTGGCACCAGATTCAGTGCAGGAACTGTAGCCCAGGCCAGCACGGGGCCCTGCTCTTGTTACGTGAGTTTACATTTACATGTGGCTTTTAAGTTTTCATTAGGCAATAACAAAAATCTCCACAAGTAGAACTTAGGTAAAGCTGGGGATATGAAAGGTACTAGGACACACACTTGTGGGCACAAAAGAAAAAGAACCCCGATAATGCTGGTGCCCTAATGCATCATTCCCTGCTGTCACTCAGGGTCCCCGGGCACCACACACTCACATGCCGAGGTCTGTGCGTAGCCATTGCCATCATATTGGACTCAATAAAGATTAATATCCCTGCAGTTAACTTTATGTAACTTTATATTTTCTAAGTCTCCTAACGATAGTTTCTGTCCTTTAAAGCTGATATATACCTCACATGCTTTTTGATTAGCTCCATTACGAGGCGACATTTAGATTATTTCCATGGGCTCCCCTCGTTTTTCCTACTTCCAGCAATTCCACCACAAACACCTTTGTGCCTACAGCTTTTGCTTCTGTAATTTCCTTAGGACGGGACTGCTGGGTTCTATTTCTGAGGCTCTTTCGGAGTCCAGCAGAATCCAGCTATTCTTTTTTGGAGAGTGTGTCATCCAGGGTGCAGCTGCCACCAAGGCACAGTTGGCTAGTCTTGAAGCAACCTTGCCAGCACTAGGGGTCAACATGAAAATAACTGGTCAACACAGTATCAAAAAATAGGATGTTAAGGCTGCTCTGATTTATGTTTCTTGATTACTGGCAATGTTGGATATTTTCCTGCATGCAACTTCTATTTCCTCTGGTGTGGATAATCTCTCCAGAAACTTACAGTCCACACCTTTCCTTCTCTGCTTCTCTAATACTCATGTGTCTGTGTGCTGGGACAGAGGGGAGATGGGGACCTGGGCAGAAAGACACTATGCTGACCACTGTCGGAGCAACCTGCAACCACTAGACCTGATTGATCTGAGGGCCCCTCCACCTTCAGCTTTCAGGACAAGGATGAATGCATCTGGTAGTCTTCACGTCCACTTCTCACCTTTGTGTCCAGTACTTGCTCCTCACTTGGTGCAGCAACCTCTTTGGGATGGGTAGAGTCATCTTCAATGGCCTGAGGCACTTCAAGAAACTTCTGCTGTTGTCTGAAATAGAATTTTAACAGGCAGCAAAAGATATGCAAAAAGAGAACATATTCTCATTGAAGGTTTCACACTGGCTTTATTCCTCAGGGAGAAGGAACACTATGGGGAGCAAGTCTGTACCCCACAGGCAGCAGGAAGACAGCCTCTCCCTGGGTCAACAGCTATACAGTTAGTGATGGGATCAAAATCCACTGACGTGGGTGGGCTGGGGGCCAGACAGCGAGCTGACCTCCCTGAGCTGAGGGAGAGCTTGTGAAGAGTCCAGGGCAGCAGCTGGCCAAACTAACGCCCTGGGTCAAATCCAGCCCGTGGCCTTTTTGCACATGACTGGCTAAGGATGGTGTTTATGTTAAAACTAACAAATAAGCAACAGGCAAGCCTACTGTCGCCAACCTGGCCAGCCTTTACAGAAACAATTTTGCCAGCTCCAGACAGTAGCTCTGCTGTACTTGTAGAGGACAGATTCGGTGCCCTTCCCCAGTATCCCCCGCCATGTGCCATGTATGCTGTGAAAGGGAAAGAGTCCCCTAACACCTGGAAGCACAGAGGATATCAGGGAGAAGAAAGCAAGTGCTTTTCAGGACTGTCAGATGCACACACCCCTCCATGTCCAGGGTACCCCGGGGCTCTGATTTATGGCCATACGGGTATAGGGCTATGATTTTCACCTGGGGTCTGCAGACACTTGGTGGAAGGGCTGTCTCTGCCTTGAATCTATTTGATCTTTTTGATAATTTATAAACAGAGGCTCCCTCCAGGTGGAGGCGATCCTGGAGGGCTTAGCAAGTAAATTCCTCCCTCATCCAGAAGGAAAGTCCACTTTCTGGACTGGTACCATCTCGGGTCAGGGCTACTTTGTGACCAGCATGCAGACTGGATTTTGGATTTTGGCTAGGCACTTTGCAGAGTCTGTCACATGCACAGTTCTATATGACAACTCTGGGAGAGTTCCCATGTGATGGCATTCAGCTGGTATATCCCTCTGAAGATCAATTTGTTTATTTTAAGATCTTTATTTTAATGAAAACCAAACCAAACCAAACCAAACCACCTTGCCAATCCAGTCTGATGTTGCAAGTTCATTGGCAAGACTGCTGGTATGAACAAACTTTAAGACAGAAAAGAATATGGCTGTCTCCAAGAATATGGCTGTGGATTCCCCCTTGTCCTTTGGTCAGCTGAGGAACAAGACCATTGATCTGGGTTGTGTAGGCTGCTCCACAGAAGACCTGGAGGAGGCTGTGACCAAATTGAACAAGCTAGGTGCCATTTCCCTCTAAGAACTCAAGTCGCTTTTATGCTCTTGGGCTAAAGGAGATGAGGGAAGGTACAGCCTAGAGCTACAGAAACACAGGAAAAGCAAAAAGCAACCTGGGTTAGAAAGGTACTCATGGCTACACCACTGGGGCTTTCTGGTGGCCTTGGAATCCACCATGGTCAGTACCTGCTTTCTGAGAGGCCAGTCCTGGGGATGGTTTGTTGGATTAGTTGGTCTTCCCCGGCTATCCTCGGTGGCCCTGGCATTGTGTTCACCATGGCTGTGGGAAGCAACTGAAGATGAAAAGGTTTAGTAGACAGGGGTGCACGGAACCCTCCTGGCCCAAGACACCACACCATGGCCAAAGACACACCCTGGCCAGGTCACTGGTCTCAAAATGGGAGAAGGAACAGGATGCCAAGGTGGCAGTGCCAGCCTGGGTGACCAGGTTCAGAACATTTCACAGAGTTTCAGTTTATTACATCTGGAAGCTCCTGTGAAACAATCTCTCTCATCCAAACCTTTCACCATCTCAAAGGAACCCCCATTCTGCTTGCACAAAGTAACTAGGCTCCACAGAGAATTCTAGGAACATCCCTGAGCACTCTTGTTTTAAACACACCATCCCCTTTCTCTTCTATTTGTCATGGAAACGGAGTGTGTCCCCTGCAGGCCAGGGATCAGGTCACCAGAAGCCTCGGAAGTGGGGTGGGCAGGGTTACAAGCCTGTCTGAAATGCTTGCTCATGTTGGGTTAAGATGACTATACCTAACAGGACAAGTGGGACAAGTGCTAACAGGACAAGTGGCACAAGTGCAGAAAAAATTCCCTTGGGTTTATGGGGTGCTGCTCTGTCCACCTGCCACCCTGTTTCAGCCACCCCTTTCCCATTTCTTTCCCACCTTGATGCTTTCCTGATCCTTCCACCTGGAATGCTGTTCCCTATAGGTCTTCCTCACAGGCAGAGCTCAGCTCAAAAGGGATGTGCTTTCCAAGGACCTCCAGAGCCAGCACATATCCCAGCACGCTCTTGCCATTAGCAGATTTGATTTTCTTTTGGGTTATTTATATTTTTATTTGCTATTGCCTATAAGTGCCCTGAGTCCTGGGTTTATCTGCCTCGGTCACTTCGTATTCTGAACACACAGCATAAAACCCCTGTGCCCTACATCTAACAAAGATATTTCCTTGGTGCTTTAATAATTCATGTCCTTATTTGCCAGGGTTATCTTTGTTGATGTACCTAATTGACCTAGATAGACATGGATACCACTTATTTATTCCTGATCCTGAGACCCATTTCTGTATTGCCTCATCAGGAAACAGAAACATAGAAAAAATCTAGGACAGCAGGCTTGGGGGAATTCTAGCTTTAACTTGTCACATTGGGCATGTCAGGGTAACCTCAGTTTCCCTGTCTATGAAATGGGCACAAGGCGCTGGTTGCTCAGTGTATAGATGGGACCTAGAAGGAGCCTGGGAAGCAAAGTTTCCCGAAATCACAGGGGGCTATGTGCACACAGCAGGTTTTGGTTTGGCTCAGCCTTCCACTCACCTCCAGGGCTTCCTCCTTGGCTTTCAGCAGACTGGTCCAGGGCTTGGGTGGTGGTTCCTCTGCACCCTAGAAAGATGTGATCACATGATGTGGAAGTGGGAACAAAGCCATCACTGGGTACTCTGCACTCACACATAAGGGCACAGAGAGGGACAGAGACCTTTCCCAAAACCCACAGACATAAGCACTGGGGCAAAAGCGAGAGCACCTGGAAAAGTGACAATGGTGTCCCAAAGGGCAGCCTGAGATTGAATCTGGGGAGCAACTGGCAATGTGGACAGATCCTGGGGGTGCAGACAGGCAGACCCTGGCCCCTTGCAAAGGCAGGACCTGAGAGGACCACCTTGCTTCTCTGGGTGCCAGTGGCCACATCTCTAAAACGGACTGGTGACACCAGCCCTGCCTGTTTCAGAGTCACTATGAGCACTGAGTGGGCCAGAGTTAAGGGACGGTCACAGCAGGTGAGTCAGAAACCAGACTTCAGAGGAAGGACATCATGCACACTGGGAGGTCCAAGGCCACAAGCTGCCTGAGGCCTCTCCCCTGCCCCATCAGCTGTCTTCCTGTTTGTTGCTCAAGGCAAAAGGCAGCAAATGCAAACAAATACCTGTAGGCTGAGACAGGTTACGTGAACAAGTGAAACCAGCCAAAGGTAGGAGAGTAGGGATCCGAGAGACTAAGGGAGCTACCGGATTCCTGCTCTGGGGACAGAGGTCCAGCAAAGCCATGGTTTGCTGTTTGCTCCACTCTTTCACTGACCCAGCAATTTACAGCTCTGGTCTGAGGTACTCAGAGTGTGCAGAGCAATCAGCCACAAAGAGGTCACATTACCACTGAGCTGAGACTTTCAGAAGTAAACAAAAACCAGACAAGCAGGTGGTAGAAGTGGAACCCTGGCAGGGCAATAACTGTCTGCAAACAGGGGAAATGCAGATGAGGCTGAGGGTCAGGATCAATATCTGCTTTTCTACTACTCACTGCTCATACCCTGCAGGGTCCCTTGCTAACCCGAGCTTCTTTCTTGGACTAGAGCCCTATGTTGCACACACCTGCAGTGGCCTGGCAGGTGGCTCAGTCTTTTTGGCAAGGATTGCCTTCTGCAGGGTAGCGTTCTCCACCTGGATGGCTCGGAGCACGGCCAAAGCGTCTTCCTCTCGGTCCTCAGCAGCATATATGGGTTTGCGGGGTGCTGACAGGGGTCTTTCTCGGCGGCTGCCAGGTCCTGGAAAAAGAAAACAGGTGGTGCTCTTTTGGACGGCTGCTTCAAATCCATCAGATACAACTGAGGAGCATTCCATAAAACAACTGGCCAGCACACTCTAAAAGTGTCAAGGGCACAAAAGATAAAGTAAGCCTGGATGACAGCTGCAGATGCCAGCAAACCAGAAAGACGTATCAAGTGGGTCCAGAGGTGACCCTGGGACAAGGCCTGCGTGGGAGGAAATGTACAATAAAGAGCATGACTGTGCCAGAGGAGAAACTAGAATATAGCCTGTGTCTTAGAAAAGAGTATGGTAATACTAAATATTATGAATTTCCTAAGTGGAGGGTGGTCATATAAACTGAATGCTTTTGAGGACACAAACTGCAATGTTTAGGAGGCAAAGGGCAATGATATATAACTTGCAAATAGTTAAAAAATGCATGAATTTATAAATAAAATAAAAGGTATATATAATACACCAGAATCTGAGGATGTGAAGTCCCTTGCAGAAATGGTATTATGTACACATGTAACTTATAGACAACCTCTCACATACTTTAAATCATCTCTAGATTGCCTGTGATATCTAATACAATGTACATGCTATGAAATAGTTGCTTTGGCGTCCAGATGGAGGGGATCCTAGAATCTGTGCTGCTGGACAGCAAAGGACAGCTCTCTGTCTGTGACGTGGTGCAAGACTTGCTGAGAAGCTTTCCTGGCTCTAGCATACCTCTGGCTGGTCATGATTGAAGACACTGGCTAGAGCACTTCACTCTCCTGCTCTGCTCTTGTTAGAATGCTTCACTGGAATGAGAGTTAAAGTAGCAACATCAAGAATGGCATTGACAATCCGAGGAACTGTGCTGCAGAGGAGGAAACTGGGATCCCAGCAGGGGTGAGTTCCTGCTCACCATCCTGAGCCCCTGGAGAGTTTAAGATCATCGCTCCCAGTGGTCAAGGACCGGCCCAGCTTCCAGCCACACTAGACTAGGCTTGGGAGGTTTTGAGGCCCTACTACATTACACCCAGCGACCTTCTTCAATCAGGGGAGCTGAGAGCACATGAAGTGAGTTCCAGCCCATTGGTTCTTGCCTGGGGAGAGCTTTGGACCATCATCCACAGTGGTTAGGTACCCGCTGAGCTTCCTGGAACACTGGAGGTGGCACAGGAGGTCCTGTGGGCCTGACTGGACCATGCTCAGCAACCTCCATTCAGTCCCAGGAGCCAAGGGCATAGGAGACGATATCCAGCATGCCCAAGGGAAGCCTTGGAACAACACTTAAAACACAGAAATATAGGAAAGTGACAAAACGAAAGACCAAAATGCAATCTCAAACCTCCAGCCCATCCCAAAAAGCTAGGAGCCATGTATATAGAAGAATATATATGCCATACACCTGACATACCTGAAATAAAGAAACAGCTCCGGGAAGCTTTAAAGGAAAACTAGAAATAATCTCCCAGGTAAAAGAAAAAATGATAAAAGTAATAAAACAGATGCTGAACACATCTAAAGAAGACACAGTTAAAAAATTAGAGGAACAAGACAAAAAGACAGAATCCCTGGATGAACAATATAAGAAACAAATAGAATACGTGAAGCAGATTCAAAGAGACATACAGAAAATCAAAAATTCCACTGAAAGTTGTCAAAACCACCTCAGTGAAAGTGAAGTTAGAATTTCAGACCTCGAAGACAAGACTGCAGCTAGTGAACAGGAAAGAAAAGATCTTTTAAAAATAACAAGGAATCAGGAAATAACAGCTCAACAGCTGCAAGATGATGCAAAGAAAAACAACATAAGATTGATAAGGATAAATGAAAAAGAAAGGGAAAACACAAATCATATCAAGAGGCTATTTACAGAAGTAATAGAAAATTTCCCAAACATGAGAATGGAAACTGACATATAGATTAGTGAAGCATATAGAACCCCAAATAGCCATAACCAAAATAAAACTACACCCAGACATATAATAATCACCATCCCAGAAATCCAACATAAGAACGGCATATTAAAAGCTATTAGAGAGAAGATAAAGGAAAACCTATCAAAACACAGCAGACTTCTCAACACAAATAATGAAGTCAAGAAGAGCATGGAGTGAAGTGTTTCAGAAAAAGGAAAATGATTTCCAACCTAGACTGATGTACCATGTAAAACTGTCCTTCAAAATGGATGGAGAAGTAAGATAATCCCATGAGAAAGGACAGCTGAAAAACTTCATGATCACCAAGCCAACCCTGCAAAGAATACTGAAAGATAGTTTAGATACACATAGGAAAAAACCAATAAGCAAGGCAGACAAACAGAATGGAAAGATAAAGATGCAACAGCAGAAAGATAACATGTCAATAATAAACCAATATATAAGTTATAACCAGGTTACTAATGTAAATGGTCTCAATTCACCAATTAAAAGAAACAGATTGGCAGAATGGCTCAAGAAACAACATTCAACCATATGCTGTCTACAATAAACACATCTAACCCAAAAGGAAACTCGCAGACTCAAAGTCAAAGGATGGAAAACAATACCCATGCAACAGGAACCAAAAAAAAAAAAAAAAAAAAAAAAAAAAAAAAAGCAGGGGTAGCTGTTCTGTTTGCAGACAATGTGAACTGCAAATCAAGAATGATCCTAAGAGATAAAGAAGGTCACTACATACTGGTTAGGGGAAAACTTCAAGAGGAACAGATAACAATCTTAAATATATATGCACCAAATTCCAGAGCACCCAGTTATACAAAGCAAGTATTAATAGAAATGAAAAATCAAATTAGCAATGACACAATTATAACAGCAGAACTTAACACACCATTGACACCAACGGACAGATCAGACAGAAAATCAGCAAATAAATAACAGAACTGAATCACACTTGTGAACAAACGGACTTGATAGATATATGGAGTGTCCCATCCAACAACATCAGAATATACATTCTTCTCAGCGGTACCTGGGACATTCTCTAAAACAGACCATATACTAGTCCACAGAACATTATAAATAAATGCAAAAGAATTGAAGTTATCCCATGCATGTTATCAGATCATAGTGCCATGAAACTAGAAATTAATGAGAAAAGAACCTGCAAAAACCCCACAAACACATGGAAATTGAATAATACACTCTTGAGCAATCAGTGGATCACAGGGGAAATTAAAGCAGAAGTTAAACAATACCTACAAGCAAACAAAAATACAAATACAACTTACTGGAATCTGTGGGATGCAATGAAAGCAGTCCTCAGAGGAAAATTTATTGCACTGAGTTCCCGTATAAGGAAAACAGAACAAATACAAATAAACAACCTGATGCTATACCTCAAACATCTAGAAAAAGAAGAGCAAGTCAAGCCCAAAGCCAAAAGGGAGGAAATTATAAAAATCAGAGCATAAATTAATGCAAGAGACTAAGAAAACAATCAGAGCAGAAAATAATGCAAGAGACTAAGAAAAGAATCAATGAATCAAAGAGTTGGTTCTTTGAAAGAATAAATAAAATTGATAAGCCCCTAGCCAACCATATTTAAAAAAGGGAAGAAAAAGCTCAAATTCATGCAATAAGAAATGAAAAAGGTGAAATCACTGTAGACTCTGTAGAAATACAGAAGATCATCAACACCTATTTCAAAAACCTCTGATAACACAGAAGAAATGGACAGATTCCTAGAAACATATGAAGTACCAAAGCTGGGTCAAGAAGATGTAAAACTTCTGAATAACTCAATTTACATTAATGAAATTGAAAATGTAATTAAGTCCTTTACCTACAAAGAAGAGCCCAGGCCCAGAGAGATTCACTGTGGAATTCTACAAGAAATACAAAGAAGACTTGATGCCGACACTCCTCAAACTCTACAATGAAACTGAAAGGGAAGCAATCCTTCCTAAGTCATTCCTGGAAGTAAATATTACTCTAGTACCAAAACCTGAGAAAGATTCAACTAGACCAATCTCCCTAATGAACACAGATGCAAAAATCCTCAATAAAATATTGGCAAACAGGATGCAGCAAATCATCAAGATTATACACCACGATCAAGTTGGATTCATCCCAGGCATGCAGGGATGGTTCAACATACGTGAATCAATAAATGTAATCCATCATATCAAATAAAGCCAAAAGTAAGAATCACATGATTATTTCTATAGATGCAGAAAAAGCTTTTGATAAGGTCCAACACTCATTCATGATAAGAACCTTACAGAAAATTGGAATAGACAGTCTTTACCTCAATATGATAAAGGCCATCTATGACAAACCAACAGCCATCATACTAAATGGCCAAAAACTGAAGGCCTTTACCTTAAAATCAGGCACAAGACAAGGATGTCCCTTATTACCGATCCTATTCAACATAGTACTGGAAATACCAGCCAGAGCAATTAGACAAGAAAGAGAAACAAAAAGGGGTAAAGATAGGAAAAGAGGAAGTTAAATTATCATTATTTGCTGATGACATGATACTCTACATAGAAGACCCCCAAAACTCCATTGAAAAACTCCTGGATATAATAAATTCAGCAATGTAGCTGGATACAAAATCAATACGCAAAAATCAATAGCATTTTTATACATTAACAACAAATCACAGAGAGAGAAATAAGAGAAGTCACACCATTCACACTAGCATCCAAAAAAATGAAATACTTAGGAATTAATCTCACAAAAGAAGTAAAAGATCTATATAGGGAAAATTATAATACACTGAAAAAAGAAAATTAAGAGGATCTCAGAAATGGAAAGACATCCCTGGGACACGGATAAGAAGACTAAACATTGTGAAAATGGCCATTCTCCCAAAACTGTTATACAGATTCAATGCAATCCCAATGCAAATACCATCAACATACCTCATAGATCTAGAGAAATCACTCCTAAAATTCATCTGGAACCAGAAGAGATCTAGAATAGCAAAGGCAATTCTAAGCAGCAAAGACAAGGCAGGAGGCATCACAATCCCTGACTTGAAGTTATACTACGAAGCTACTATAATAAAATCAACA